GTGGGTGGGGAGAGATTAACTTAAGAACTTATATGTATATATACATAACCCATAGACACAGAAAATAGTGTGGTGAAGGCCTGGGTGGAGGGGTGCAGAGGGGAGGGGATCAATGGGGGAAAAAGGGGAAAATTTGTAATACTTTCAACAATAAAGATAAATTAAAAAGAGAAAAAAAATTTTAATGGTTAAAACTGAATAATAAAATGAACATGTAACTGTCAAATGGAGAAGTATAGTTGCAAAGTATGGCAAAGGATTAATGTGCTTAATATGCAAAGAGTTTTTACAAATTAATAAAAGGACAAGTTTCTTAATAAAGAAATGGTCAAAGGTTTTTGAGGTCAGGTAAATCTGGGAAATTCTGCTCACTTTTTCATGTTCTTTTATCCCTACAATGTACAGGAACAAAATTTATGACTGAGAAGTTCTGTAATAAAACTTATCTTAAAACAGAGTTTTCCAAACCTATAATTATAATTCTTTGGAACAGACTTTGAAGCATGTTGAACTCTACAATAACTAATGCTTCCTCTGGTTTATAGTCTGGCAAAGCTTTCAACAAAGGAAAAAGAAAATGGAATTAGTTTTGTCCAGGGTTTCTCAACCTTGACACTACTGACATTTTGGGCTCTATAATTCTGTTGGTGGGGGGCGTCTTAGGCATTGTAGAATGTTCAGCAGCATCCTTGGCTCCACCCAGCTGCCAGCTGCCAGTAGAACCTCTCCACCCCTAGTTGTGACAACCAAAATTGCGTGTAGACATGGTCAAATGCCTCCTGGGGGGCAGAATCATTCTCCCCTCAGAAGAGCCATTGGTCTAGGTGACCGATTTCTAAAGAACTCATGGTGTTCCCCAGGAATACCCCCTACCTAAGTGCTCCCCACGCCGCATAGTGTTTGATTTCTCTGCCTTGTGGCATCTACCGTGCTTGTTTTAATATAAGAGGTTATTAGTCTATCTCTTTTCTTCAAGCCTTTCTTCTTTGTTAGAATTCCTCACACTTCCAGGCACACCAAACCACCTCCAGTTCCCCTGATGTGGAAGTTTTTCCCATCTTTCCACCCCTAGGTGGAATTAAGCTCCTTCCTTCCATCTACATTAAAATCCTCCTCTTCAGTCCCCACAGGCCCTGTGCAGCCTTCTACCAGATTCCACACGCACATTATACGGAGTAGGTACCAAGCAACACATGACCAAAGGAGAAATATAGTCGACGGGCCAGTGATTTCATCCACAGGTGCTCGGTGGGTTTCCAGCAACCCCGAGTTCACCCACAGCCCCTCTGCCGGGTTCCTCCGAGAATCTGCTCTCTGCTTGACTCCAGGCCGACACTCTTCCTTCCCGAGAGCAGCTGGAAGCACCATAGAAGGTACCAATTTTGTTTTTCTCCCTCTGGGCCATGAATATGACATCATCGGCTCACTCGGCATGTCCAGACCGTTCCTGATAGTTTTCTCATTCCAAACAGAAAGAGAAAGGCCCTTTCCCTCGATCTCAGCGTTTCTGTAAACCTCAGCTTTTTCCGCTTGCTGACGTTTTCTGTCCTTGGAGACTTGTCTTCCTTTCCATGTTTCGGGAGTCCCTTTCGGGCCTGAGTTTCTCAGGGGCACCCCCCTCCCTCTCGAGTATGGTGTCAGTCGCTTTAAGTATTTCCTTGCTTTTATTTCTGGTCTGGGATTATTTTAAGCTTTAGAAACAGAATTTAATTCTTGGGAACCCTCTAACTTTACTAGAATTGTTCAACAGGGTGGCAGTGGGTGGAAAGAAAGGAACAAGTTGGAGAAACATTACTAACGGGCAAGTGACAAGACTTGATGACCATTTGGACATGGGTGAGGAGAGGAGATGACACCCAGATTTCTGTTTTGAGACAACAGGGGGACTGGCGATTTCTGCCCTAGATACGGTCACAGGAGGAAGGGCAGGAGGAGGCAGGGGAGGAGGGGAGGAGGGGAGCAGGCTCTCTGGGAAGATCACGGGTGTGGTCTGTGATGTTTATGTTACCGGAAAGGGGACCTGGCCCTTGATGGGTCTGCCTAGGGCCGGCCGGTAGTGTGTCGGTTCTTGACTTTGTGCAGGAAAAATTTCACAGCACGAGTCCAGGTGACTATGAGGGAACATTTATTAAAGCTGGGGACCTAAAACGAGAAAGGGCTTAGCATAGAAGCAGCAACAGGAGAGCCCAGGCTGGGCTGCCCTGGCTCTCCGGCAAGTCAGAGGAAAGAAGCCTTGGGGTCAGGTTCAGGGGACTAGCCTGTGACGAGCTGCCTCTGCCCATTGCTGCCCTGGTTGCAAGTCTCGTGGGGTCCCTTAGAGTTTAGGAGATGCGTGCCTGTGGGGGAAGAGGTGGGGAAAGAGAAAGGCAGCAGGGGGTGGGGTGCTCCCCAAAAGGAGAGCAAGCTGGGTCCTTTGTCTTGAGGCTTTTATTTCTGTCTTGAAGGTGGGAATCTTGGGGGAGGTCTCAGAAGGGGGTGTCAGTAGAATATTCACCAGCTCTCCAGGTGTGCTTTTTCAAGGTCATGGTCTCCACTGATTGGTAGGTACCAGGGCAGGGGGTCATCCGTCAGTGTATCTGGTCCTGAGGTAGCCATGGTGCCACTTGTCTGGTGGCTTTGCTGCTTATCTGGGCCTGGAGCTGAAATACAGCTGAGGCCTAGATGTTATCTGTAGGGAGGAAACGCTCAGGGGGTCTAAACAGCATGACCAGCGATATGCTGGGGGAGGACAGGTTACCCTGGGGACAAAGTTCTTGTTTTCCCAGTTTCGCCCCTTGCTAGGCACCCAGGGCTTCCTGCCCTGGTGAGTTTCTGTACCTGGCCCATCCAACACAAACCGTTTACTCTCAAGTGCCCTTGGTTTAGGGAAGAAAGCATGGACTAGGCGGCTGCAAACTGCTGTTTAACAACCTGCCTCAGTTTCCCTGTGCCACTTGTCCTGGCTTACTGGCCTGTCTCACTTAGAGTCCGAGGTTTCCACGGGAGACAAGATGGGGATGTTGAGGGGGGAACTGGATACCAGAGCCTGGTGTTCTGGGTAGGAAATGTGATTGGGGGCTGGCCATTGACATGCACATGGACGCTGAAGACAAGGGAGAAGGTAAGAGCTCAGATGGCGTGTGCCGATGGGATAGACGGTTAGCAACGGAGCAGGAAGAAAGGCCCTTGAAGGAAACGGGAAGCGAGGTCAGAGAGAGAAGAGAGGAGCATGAATCGGAGGTCACTGGAGAAAGAGTTTTGGGACAGGCGGGATGGCGGCAGACTGTAGTGATATAGGGGGGTCAGTTCAGAGGTGGACTGAAAAGTACCCACTGGGTTAGGTTACTGGGGACCACAGGGAGGGCAACCTCAGTGGAACTGAGGGGTTCAGAGGAGAGGCCATGGGATCAGACACAGGGATGTATCCAAAGAGGGGTTCACTCATCCACCCAGTCCACCAACAACTGGAGGGGCCACTGCGCACCAGGGGCAGTTACAGGATACAGTAGTGGGGCAACCGGCAAAAGCCCCTGACCTCATGATGTGTACCTTTTAGAGAGATCGAGTGTGGGGGGAGGATTCATTTTAAAGTTGGTTATTAGAATTATCAGCATTCCACAGATGAGGAGGCCAAGAGAAGTTAGATGGCAACTGGCTCAGGTTCCTACAAATGTCAGAGCCGGGGTCGTGGCCTGGCCTGCATGGCTGTTTCCGTTCTTTGCTGCCTGAAGGGCGTGGAGTTTAGGTGCAAAGCGATGACGCAGAAGGCACACAGGGTGGGGAAGAAGAGAGGTGCCAGTGCGGGATTATTTACAGCCGGGTGGGCCTCCTCAGAGCTCCTTCTGTCTTTGATTTAGGACCCCCTGTGTTGGGCCTCAGGCTTGGGCCCAGGTCTCCCCAAAGGGATGGCAGGCGCTGAGATCCACGTGTTCTCATGAGGTTCTAGTTGTGCCAGAACTTTGAGAGGCGGCCTGTGGTAGACTCCCTCCCCCCCGGCCTCCAACCATCACCTCGTCCCCATATTCCCACCCCTTACTTAGGAGTAAATCTCTATTTCTTGTGGAGGCCCTGATCCATATGGTTTGAATGGGGCTGAATATATCTCCATGTCCATTGTTAGGAGTGGGCACAGAAACCCAAGCAAGGCTGACCTATGTCCCTCCATGAGATCAGATATAGAAATATGGAACGGGACAGGGCCTTTCTTCCTCTTGTACAGTGACCGTAGGGATCATGGTGGGCCACCCATAGCCGTTTGACTATCTGAAGGAAACATCAAGTGGAGATGTACAGAGTCAAGAGATAGAGGAGACTGAACTCTGACAATATCATTTGAGCTCCTGGATCCGGCTCTGTCCTAATCTATCAAGAACTATTCCAGACTTCCTGATGGCTTGAACCAATGAATCATCTCTCCCCCAAATTTGAGTTGAGTTTCTACTTTTGCAACTGAAAGAATCTGACCAATATGTCAGCTGTGATTGTGTAAAATGTATTATTTATTTTCGCAGAAGCTAACTGACTCCAGGGACTTCCTCCATGGAGCTGACCGATTAGCTACCTTCTAGGTGTTAGTCTTGCAGGTGACAAAGACGTGAGCTAACAGCCCAACCATGGAGATGCTGACAGATACAAAAGGACCACCATTAAATGCTTTACATTCATTACCCTGAAGGCACAGTCATAGGAAACAGCTAGCAATTCCAGCTTGGTTTCTGCAAGGCGGGCCTGGCCTGGAGAGGGTTCCATGCTGTGGGAGCTCAGAGGAAGGGAGGCCGGGAAGGAGAGGGGCGCATTCTGCGCGTCTCTAACACTGTTAGGGCAGGTGGGCTAAGGTGGGGGTAGGGGACAGAGAGAGAGGGGAACAAGTCGTCTGGAGGCTGCATGAGTGTAACATGAGTGTGAGATCCGCTCCTCTTACCTTTCCCATTCCGGCGTGGGCGTGTCCCAGCTTCACCACCACGGGGAAGTGCGGGGCTGTGAGCTGAAAGAGACAAGAGAGCATCACTCGTTACCATCTCATCGCGTCTCCACCAGGGCTCTGGGTGCATCCTGTTCTGTGGAAAGATTCAGTCATCCGACATTACTAGGAATCCCCACAAGAACGCTTTGACAGATGGTCATCCTGCCACTGCTCAAACACCTGAAATGCCAACACTCCTGGCTTCCAAAGGAAGTTCCAGCCCTTAAAACCAGTCTGCCTGGGGCCTCCACCCATCGAAGAGATGGCAGAGGGAGGCAACCCAACAGGTTTCCTCCCATCCTGGCTTGTGTGACCTCTGACAACTACTACATGGATCTGGGCCTCAGTTTCCTCATCTGTGAAATGGGCACGAGGAGTAGCCATCCCATGGGGTTGCTGTCAGAATTAAATGAGTTACTGCAAGTGAAGCATTTACATTGCAAGTACCCAATGAATGGCAGCTCCGTTATTCCTGTTACAGTTCTGCCTTATGTTATTTCCCCAACAACCTTCAAATATCTGGATATTCTCATTCCCTCCCCCAAGCCCTCTCCAGGCCACTCTGTGAGGTTTCTCAATCATCGGGGCCATGCCCACCACGGGCACAAGCATTTATTGGTCATACCCTGTGGGGCACTGTGCTGAGCGACTGCCCTGTGTGATCTCCAACTGGCCTGTTGCATCCCCAGCTTCCAGACACTGCCTGGCCCAGGAAAGGCATTGGACACGGGATCTGGGTGCTGGGGAGAAGAGGAAATTTGGAGCCAGATTACTGGGGGCCTTCAAAGCTGAAGGGAAGAGTTTATGTTTCTTGGATGGGCCATGGGGAAGAAGGTGAGTTTGGGGCCAGGAAAGTAACCTGCCAGCTGCAGGATGAATTTATCAAGAGAGACCGAGGGGCCAGGAACCAATTTGGAATTGATGAAAACCAACAGGAAGTGTCACTGCTTGGGGACAGTGGAGAGAATGGGGGACTTTCCAAGGGTTTTTCTTTTTTCTTTTTTAAAGTAAAACTTTCGAGATTTGAAATAACAGTTTTCAAATGACCATAAAAATTCAAGATGAGGATTGTCCATAACATCATCATCAAATCAAATCAGCGCATTGGCCCACATTACTTTGTAATCCTCATTTATATGTTCAATTAAAAAAAATGGGACATTCTGCAAAAATAGCAGAGATAGAATTTTACACCTTTCACCCTGCTTAACATTACTCATTAAATTTTTTACAATTTTTGCCACATCGTTTTTTTTGTCACACTGTTTTTTTTGCCCCCCCCCTTACATCTCTCCCCGACTCCCCAGCCGGGCTGACTAATCTCACCTGCAGCTGTGTCCTCTGTGTATTCCTGCCCATCACTCATCGCTCACCCTCTGCAAACATGTTCACACATATATGGTTGAAGCTGACATTTGTGTCTTCAAAAATGGCTCTTTTCACTTAATATCATACCATTCACACCCCTCTCCTCTATCAGTAGTGTAAGGTGGGCCAGGTACAGAAGCTACGGTAAGAGACTCACCAGGGCAGGAAGCCTCGATGCCTAGCAAGGGGCGAAACTGGGAAAACAAGAGCCTTGTCCCCAGGGTAACCTGTCCTCCCCCAGCATATCACTGGTCATGGGGTTTAGATGCCCTGAGCATTTCCTCCCTGCAGATAACATCTAGGCCTCAGTTGTATTTCAGCTCCAAGCCCAGATAAGCGGAAAAACCAGACAAGTGGCACCATGGCTGCCTTAGGACCAGGTACACTGACTGATGACCCCCTGCCCTGGCACCCACCAATCAGTGGAGACCAGGACCCTGAAAGAGCTCACCTGGAGAGCTGGTGAATATTCTATTGAGACCCTCCCCTGAGACCTCCCCTAAGATTCCCACCTTTAAGACAGAGATAAATATTCTCAGGACAAAGGACCAGCTCTCGCTGCCCCCCATAGGGGGGCATGCCAGTGCCATCTCCTTCCCTTCGAGGGGACCCCATGAGATTCACAAAAGGGGAGCAATGGGCAGCGGCAGCTCATCCAGGGCTTACCCCCTGAACCTGTCTCCAAGGCCCCCTTCTCTCTCTCTGACTCCTCAGTGAGCCAAAGCAGCCAGGCCTAGGCTCTTCTTATATGCTCTTCCTTGTCTCACTGTCCCAAGTATATTTTTGCTGCCTTCATGGACCCAAAACCCTTTGGCTTAGTGCTGTGTAGCCCTGCACTTTGGATATCCCACCCCCTTTTAATAAACTTAATTTTTCTTTACTCACCGTCTGAGATGGCTCTTCAGCCTGCCTGCGCACCACCCCCCACGTGAACCTTTCAAGTGGGTACAGTCCTAACCCAATAGCTTTGATAGCTTCACAGCATCCCACAGGAGCCATGTGCTGCAACTCTTCAGACATATTTTCCATCGACGGATATTTGCGTAATTCTCTCCCTCTGCCACTAGGAGCATGACCCCTAAGCATCTGTCCATCTGTCCTGATAGACTAATGTCTCAGTCCTTCAAGGCCAGACCAAGAGCTTTGCAAGGGGGGAATCAGCAGAATTTGGAGACGTTCTGATAGGTTTCCAAAGTCATAAGTCAGAGCTCAAGAGATGAAGGTGGGAGCCATGGTGTTGCACCCCGGGTGAGTCCACCCGCCGTGCCATCTCCCAGCCAACACCAACCACACTTACTGAGTGTCTTGTGAGAGCCAGGAACGGTAGTAGGCACTGTATATACGGGGTGGGCAAAAGCGGGTCTACAGTTGTTTGTATGGGAAATAATACAGTAACGAATAAATAATAATACGAGAATAAACTCTGTGTTTCGTGTACTCACAGCTATAAACCTGCTTCTACCCATCCCTGTTCCTCAGCATTCGTTCCTTTCCCCTTGTGATTTATGAGGAATCAGAGGCAAGCCATTCGCCCAAGGTCAGACAGTTAAGGATGGGGGGGCTTCTCCCTGCCACCCGTGTCTCCTCCCCACTCCCCACCCCCTTTCCTTCTCAAGCTGTTCAAATGGGCTTCAAAGGCCATTCCCATTTGCGACATGCCAGCCCCTTCCTGAACACAGACAGGTCACAGAGAACAAAAAACATCTTGTCGGCTATTTTCTCTCTTCCCTTCCCAACAATAGCTTTATTAGTCCCCCTGGGGACGAGAGCCCTGCACGGGTTTCTCACAGGCTCCCTGTCCCTGCTCACATGCCCCCGGGGCTCCAGAGTTCAGCACTGCCCAATGGCATGAGAGGCCTAACATCCTGTTAGAAGGGGCAGATCAATTTTTGAAACCAGAGATCCCCACCCAGATAAGGGCCTTATTCAACTCTCCCAAGAAATCAAAATAAGTGGCTGTGGCCCAGTGTGCACCCTGGGCATTCTCCAGGGGGGCTGGAGTCAGAGCAGAATGAGCCCAGAGCAGCACTGTAGCAACATCATCTTCAAGGCCTGGAATGGGAGAGCTGGGACCTGAGGGTTCTAGGGCCACTTTCCAATGAAGGAGGCCATTCCCTCTACATTCATAACTTTCTGGAGATTTAAATACAAACAGTGTCTGTCCTGGCTAAGTGATAGAGAAGGCAAACCCTGGAAGAGCCTGGAGGGGGAAATCAAGGACCAAAGAAGCCTGAGAAGATTTCATGGAGGAGCTGGGCCTCTATTCCATGGCTGCGAGGCTCTGCCTAATCTAGCTTTTGCCCACCTCTCTGTTTCATCTTGTGTTTCCCCCTCCTCCCCATCCCAACCCCTGCCCTACCAGTTAGGTTTCACCCCCTGGGCCTTTCAGTTCTTTACTGAATGGGCCACACTCCCTCCAGCCACAGGGCCTTCGCACATGCTGTTCCCTTTCTCTGCCAGACTCTTCCTGACTCTCTTTTCTAGGCCAATTCCTTCACATAATGAGGTCTCAGTTGAAATGCTCTGTCCTTAGACAGTGCCTCCCTGGCCACCGGTCTAAAGTAGGTAATTACTACTTGAAACCTATATAATCTTATTAACCAATGCCACCCCAATATATTTAATTAAAAATTAAAGTAGGCAGTTCCCATTACCTTCTTTATTACACCCTTTGTAGCACTAGCCACCATTTGTAATTATATATTTGTTTCCTTTGTGTCCTTCTCTCCCCTCCCCTGTAGGTGCTCTGACAAAACCAGGTGTTTTGCTGTTTTGTTTATTTACCACTGTATCTCCAGGCTCCACACAGGCTCGGCGTGCCATAGACACTGTGCATATAGTCAGTTTGTTGAGTGGGTGTTAGATAGCTTCCCATGACAGGGAGAGATGTCATGTGCAAATAGGTACAGTTAGAGAGAAGTTGGGGACAGGAGTTGTTAAAGTTGGATTAAGTGGAAGGCTTGTTGGGTGATCAGTAGGAATTCGTGTAGAAATATGGGAGTGGCAAGCTTGGAGGGCCCTTCTGCCAGGTAGAAGTTTCGGCTGTATCCATGGGCACTGGGCAGCAATTGAAGATTTGCGTGCAGAGGGTAGGTGCACACAAAACAGGTTTAGGGAGACTCTTCTGGCCACTGTGGCAACGGCGGCTCCTATTTCTGGAGCACTTACNTGGCCACTGTGGCAATAGCGGCTCCTATTTCTGGAGCACTTATGTTGCACCAGGCATGGTGCTGAGCACTTTGCCTATATTGCGTCATTGAGGTCTCTTGACGCTTCTGTGAGGTAGCTCCTATTTTCATCCCCATTTCACATACTGGGAAACAAAGGCCAAGAGAGGTGAAGTTTCTTGCCTAGGGTCATCCAGCAAGAAAGTGGAGGAGCTAGAGTTTGGCCAGAGGCCCCCCCCGCCCCCGGCTCTGCCACCAGAGCCCATTCTCATGCTCGCCACCATCCCGTGCTTCCCTTGTGCTCAGGACCGTGTGCACCCATTTAATTTGATTCAAGTGGGGGGTGGTGGCCAGCGGACCCACTGGACAAGGCTGGCTACTGCATTAGCCAAGCTGTTCAGAGCTTGGGGGGCGCAGCACAAGCTTTGGAGCCAGAAGGATGCCCAGAGTTCACATCTAGTCCCAACACCTATGGTTAAGAGCCGT